CTATGGGAAGCCCATTAGAAATCGTCCAAGGGATATGTTTAAGGAGTCCATGGGCTGCTTAGGGCCTAAGCAGTCAGATTAGGGTTTCCTAGTTGTAAACCCTAATAGCCTACATGTATAAAAGGGACCCTTAAGCCCCAAAAACGTGAAAACACTTCCATTAGGGTTTCCAGCCGTTTTTGGTGCCTCTTTTTCTTCTCCTCTTCATCCAAGTTGCATATGGTGTTTGTGACTCCATTAGAGGTACTACACTTGTGGTACTTGCTTTCAAGAGCTAAGGAAATTCAAGGAACTAGTTGTTATTGCTATATAACAACAAAAGGTATGTATTCTAGCTTTATATATGAATTTCGAAAATTATAGTAGCATGCCAGGTTTCTTTTTGTGTTCATAAAGTTGTATAACTAATAGTGAAAACATAGATCCAATACTAGGGTTGCATGCACACATAGGATTGTTTGTATAAGACCCATCAAGAATATCGAAATGTTTCTAAGTTTCTTCATCAGCATGGTATTTTACATCGTCTCTCGTGTCCTCATACTCAAGAACAAAATGGAGCTGTCGAAAATCAAAATCAAGTCATTGTTGAGAAAGGTCTCACCCTTCTAGCTCAATCCTCACTTCCTCAAATTTTTTGGGAGCATGCTTTTAAAACTGCTACCTATCTACATAACAGAACCATCACTCCTAGTCTCGCTTATGAGCCACCACATCAACTTTATATCACAAGACACCCGATTATGATTTTTTAAAAACCTTTGGTTGTCTCTGTCATCCATATTTGATACCATATAATCCTCATAAAATTGACTTTCGCTCCAAACCTTGTATTTTTCTTGGCTATAACGCCTCTCATAAAGGTTATATATGCCTTCATCCACACACCTCTCGTATATATATTTCACGTCATGTCATATTTAATGAGGATTTCTTTCCTTATCAACATTTAAACAAACATCAACAATCAAGTAATCATCCCAACACATCCACATCTCCTGATCCTTCACCTACGATTGTCATTGATAATCCAACCCAAATTCCTAATCCACCAAACTCAACTTCTTTCATTCATCCAACCAGCCCATCAGGCCCAGCTATCACCCCTGGTCCACCTATTACTCCATCTAGACCATCAGTCTTTCCTTCTACAAAACCTTCGTCTCCTGTCCCTCCGTTATCCCCACACATCTCTTCCTCTAATACCTCCCAACCTTCTTCAACTACATCCATTTTTCGACTAGCTAAAAACAGTCAACACTCGATGGTTACCCATGCACACACAAACTCTCTCAAACCCAAGTTATTCAATGTCGATCTTTCTCATAGCCCTACCATTGAACCTCACTTTTTTTCTCAAGCAATTAAGCACAAATGTTGGCAAGATGTGATGCGAGCAGAATATGAGGCTCTCATGAAAAATAACACCTGGTCACTTGTTACTTGTCCTACTAATGTCAATGTTGTTGGTTCTAAGTGGATATACAGGGTCAAGAAACGATCGGATGGTACAATTGACAGATAGAAAACGCGACTAGTTGCTCAAGGTTTTAGTCAAGAAGAAGGCGTGGACTATTTTGATACGTTCAGTCCGGTTATTAAACCGACAACAATTAGAATGGTGCTTTCGATTGCTCTATCTCAAGGTTGGTACATTCGACAACTGGATATCAATAACGCCTTTCTTAATGGCGATTTATCAGAAATGGTGTATATGAAACAACCGAGGGGCTTTGAAGATCGAAATTACCCTCATCATGTATGTCGGTTGAATAAATCTCTTTATGGACTTAAACAGGCACCAAGAGCTTAGTTTACAAAGCTCAAAAATTATCTAGTGTCACATGGTTTTCACACTTGTCAAGCTGACACCTCACTATTTGTTCATATTACTCCTACTGTTACAATTTATGTTTTAGTCTATGTGGATGATTTAATTATCACATGTACTAATAATCTTTAACTTCAAGTCTTTATTGATGAATTGAATAAGATATTCTCACTCAAGGATCTTGGAGACCTGCATTTTTTCTTGGGTTACAAATTAACAGGACTAAGTATAGACTAACCTTGTCACAACAAGCATATGTCGCAAATATTCTCAACAGGAGTAATATGTCATTAGCATCACCTATGTCTACACCTGCTAATCCGTACAATCAACTACAAAAGGTCGGTGATCCGTTTTGTGATCCAAAGCTATACAGGTAAGTAGTGGGGTCACTTCAGTATGCAACAATCACTAGACTTGACATTGCCTACTCAGTCAATCATGTGTGTCAGTTTATGCATTCACCAACAAATCAACATTGGCAAGCTATAAAACGTATTCTTAGATATCTTAAGGGAACGATTACTCATTGTTTACACTTCACACCTACTAAAGCCAAAGGATTACATGCCTTTTCTGATTCTGGGTGGATTTCCGACACTGATGATAGTCGATCACAATATAGTTTTGCTATTTTCCATGGTTCAAACCTCATTAGCTGGACTTCTAGAAAACAAAAAGTTTTTGCAAGATCAAGTACAGAAGCTAAGTAACGATCTCTGGCCTATACCACTACTGAACTCATGTGGCTAAAACAGTTGATTATTGATCTTCAAGCTCCAATTCACACTCCACCACTGTTACTTTGTGATAATGTAGGAGCCATCTTTATGTCCAAGAATCCTGTTATCAGTACTAGATCAAAGCACATTGCTTTAGATTTTCATTTTATTCGAGAACAAGTAGAGGCTAGTGAGCTAAACATCTTTTATTCGAGAACAAGTAGAGGCTAGTGAGCTAAACATCTGCCATGTGTCCTCTGTTGATCATTTGGCAGATATCTTCACCAAACCCTTGGGCAAGGATCTTGTTTCATTTCTTCGTTCCAAGCTTCAAGTTCTTCCCGCTCTTGAGCTTGCTGGGGGGTAATAGCATTAAAATAACACGTATTAAAATAACACGTGTACATTGTTTTTTGATTTGGTCTTTTAGCCGAATAGTCATAGTAGATATGTAGGAGTTTATATCTCCACTTTAGTTGTACTTCTCTGTACATGTATTTAATCTGATGTACCCCTGGTATCAAATACGCCAGAGTTGAAGATATACAATTTCATTTTAATACTTGTGTTTTTTAGAAACATATATAATTATAAGTAATTAGATTTTTTAAAAGTTAATGAACAGGAGTTAAAATAAATAAAAACATATTATATGTAACCCGATTTATACATAGGAACGTATATAAAAATAATGAGAAACTTAAAAAAGAATTAAGTTAAAGAGAGAAAATGATATTTTATAAAGTTAAATTCAGAAAGTAAAACTCACAATTTAGGAAGTATAAAGATTAAAAATGTCATTTTACATAATAAGTGCAAAGATAAGTAATGCTCACGATCTTGATACAAATCGAATTCTTGAAATAATTAAAGAGTTCAAATTTACATTTGTATGTAAAAGATTCCTGATATTAAAAAATAGAAGAACATATAAGAAAACAATTTGTTAATACAAATCAAATTCTTGAAATCATTTAAAAAAATCTCAAAATATTTACTTTATTCTAGAAAAAGTTATATTAGCCAAAAACAAAGTAACAATGAGAACCTTGTAGTGTCTACAATTATGCTGTGCTTAGCCAACTTTTGCTAATCGAGAAAGATAACAGTAATTAAACTTGCTTTTAAAGTTGAGCATAACTCATATACCTGTTCCAATTCGAAAAAAAATAATAATAATAAAATAAAATAAAATAAAAGTTTATAAACCATTCAATAATAATATATAGACAAAAAAAAAAAGTTCTTGTGGTTTGTATATTTTTAGGGACAATGTTCAATCCATTAAATCAAGGTTATTAAATATGGGATTTTGATTGTAGAATTGTACGATTCTACGATCCTACATTTGTATTTCAATTACAATCTTAGCAAACTCATTTTTATGTAGAATCGTAAAATCAAATTATGAAATTATAAAGTTGTAAGCGTTTCGAGTCTACCTAGATTGGTTTTTTTTAGCCAGCTTTCATTCTCGTTTTACTCAGATTAAAATGAGCATTGTTCTAAAACTTTAGAAGAAAACAACAAACGGAAAGTAACTATTAGTGTAGTTGAACTCTTGAAAAAGATATGGAATATAATTTCGTGATTTGTAAATAAATAAATATACTCGTCATTTTAATTATTTATTTATTTTTCATTTTATTTATTTTTCATTTTAAAACATGATTGTCAAGCCGTTTTAGACCGATTTAAGACAGAAATAACATGAAGAAAATAGTCTAATAATTATTAAAAAAATCAATGTGTGATGTTGGATAATTAACAAGAAAGATTCTTTAATTTTTGACATTATTTTCTAGATATCCAAATGAAAACTAACTAAAACTAGCACGCTCAGTAGTTCTTTGATTTTACGATCACGATTTTGTAAATCCAAAAACGATTCTATGTATAATTTCAATTTTGCTAATCTTACTTAAAAAATTTTAGGTTGATCGTCTTTTTGAGCAATTTTGCTTATAGTTTTAGTCAAATGAAAAGACTAAAAATGCTCTCATTATGTATTCTTTATGTTTTTTTATTTAATTTGATCCTCTCTCTCCCTCTCTCTCAAATATCCTACTTCTCTCCTTATCTTGTTCTCAAAGTAGGGACAACATACATCATATCTCTATCTCTCTCTCTCAACATATATCATCCCTAACCTCAAATTCCAATGCCAAATGATAACTTAAGCTTTTATTTTATGATTGTAGTGTTCATGAATACTCACACCTAACCAAAATCCGTCATTATAAACCATTAGTGTTGATTAACCATTGTGCACATCAAACCTCAAAACAAAATACAAAGAAATTAACCCAAACAACCATTTATAAGCAACAACATAAACAATTCATGCCCACTTTCACCAAAAAAGAAACCAAGTAAAAGTACCATTCAACAAAATACATACCCAAAACATCCGACTTATTCCCGACACTTCAACAACCTTCAATTCTTCAACTTATTTGCAACGCCTTAATCCGCTTCAACTTTTCATATTCGCGACGCTTACATTCTGCAATTCAACTTTAAGCGTCTTTAAGTACTTGACAGCCTCATCAAGCACATCAACGGTACTCATTCTTTTACTATTCGGCACAATACCTCTCAATGAATCCACCATCTTCTTCATTTCGCGACGCTTTCTGTCGCTAACACCACTCGATTTACACGAAGCCATCGATAAACCAAGCCCGCTGCCACTGCCACTGCCCCTGCCCGAGCCCTTTCCGGGCAGCCTCGAAGAGCAAGAATCCGCAGTGTCAATTTCGTCATTTCCATGCGTTCGGGCAGTGCTAACTTCTTCCTCCTCTTCATACCCTTCTTCCCCTTCGTCTTCTTCATCTTCAAAACTCATTAATATATCAATATCCGCTGAATCTTCTTTCATAATGGATTCAACTTCTCTAGGGGTATTTTCGTCATTTCGTGTTACATGGATATAACCCGGGGCGGGAACGGGAACCGACGGGTGGTACATTATCTGACTACGGTTATCGGTCCGGTCAAAGATAATGAAATTTCTCGGGCAGATTTTCGAGGGTTGAAAGTCAACATTTTGACCAAAGTCAACGGTTTGACCAAAGTCAAGGTTTTGACCAAAGAATGATGTGAATGGAGGAGGATTGGGAAAAGGGTGCAAGTGGTGTTGGTCGCTTTGCATTTTTACTATTTTTTTTTTCGGGTTTTTTTTTTTAAATTTAAGAAAAGAATTTTAAAAGCAAAGTGGAAAGAGCAAATGATGCTATTTAAGTTATTTCCATTTTTCGTGAATATTTATAAACGAAATTTAGTTTACTAGTAGCCAAGAGACAAATCTTGTTCACTGTCTTCTAATTAAAAAACAACCAATGAGAAGGTGACACCTGTCTATATCCCGTAAGCTTTAAGGGTAACAGACTACGTAATGGGCTTAAGCAACTGACGAAAGTATTCAGCCTGTAATAAAGTAAAAACAACCAATGAGAAAATGACACCTGTCTATATATAAACATTACCTCATAGAAATAAAAAATAGCAACATACTTTCAATTGATTTGTTTATTACAACAATTTACTTTCACTAAAGAAAAAAGATGAAATGAAGAAAATGAAAGTAAGTTGAGTTAAATTTATAATAGACAAATAAATGGAAATAAGTTGCCTTGAATATAAATATACATACCAAATAATAAAAATAAAAATAAAAATAAATACTTACCTGACAAACTTGCATCAAATTGTAGTAAGCAATGACCCCAACACTCATTTTAATCTTACCAAATTCCTTTAAAACTCGAATTCTCTTTTGTGCAACACCAATGAACATTCTCAGACCTCCACCCAGTATTTAATAACAAATAAAAAATTGATCACACTACGAAAAAACCAAAAAGTTTATACCCTGCATCAAAAAAAAAATCTGTAATTAGAAACAAGATATTTTACCTTTTTAACCAATACAAACAGTGTACTTATTTTTTATGCATAATGATTGCTTTCATTCCTTTACCTATACTAACATAGTAGCAATTTTCACTGCTATAACTGGGTTGATTAATCAAAATACAATGAGCTAACAAGAAATGAAAGTAAATGCTACATAATAGACAGATAAATGAAACTGCATTGCTAATTTTCGACCTTAGAACTTGTTACATATTACTATAATCTGTACATAAGTGTAATAAGTTGATATTATAGGTAAAGAAATGTAGTTGCATTGTGATTATGAGTTATATAACAAAGAAGCATACCTAAGAAATCTGAGTTTACAGGATAACACGAAAGAACACCACCAATGGCAAACACTTTCCGAAGTAATTAACACCCAAAGCCGTCCAAGGCATCTTGTTTTTCTACTTTATAATCAAATCATATGATAATCCCCCACGCCTAAATCTGAAACGCCATAACCAAAAACTCGATGTTAGTTTCAATTATGAGAATAAGAGCACATTATTCCGATTTACAACCACCGAATTCGATCAACAAGAAGAAAGAAAAAACACCGACTATTAGAAAAAGATACAGAACAACTCAATCGGATCAGTTAACTTTTATTGATGATTCCGAACAGAAAAAATGATCTAACAAAGATGAGTTCACGAATACACACTGATTTCAAGCAAATTTACAACAGATCTGACGAATAAAGCGTGTAGATTTAGCGGATAACGGAGAAACGAACAAAAAGCTTCTGACGTATATTATATAATGTATTCAAATTCAAATTATATGTACAGATCTTCATAGCAACAAACAAACTCAAGGAAAAATACAATTCGATAACAAGCGAGATCCATAAACCATAACTGTTTCACACGAAATCCAAATAACACCACAGAACTCGAGCTAACAAATCAGTACATAGTTACATACCGATATCAAAATTGGCACAAAATCAAAAACGATCGAAGCTTTGTTAACAAAAAGAAGCTCGAAAGATATTTGATTTCTTATGCAGGTGTATAGAGAAATGGAAAAAAAAAGAGAGAGATAATAGAGGGATCTAGAGTGGGTGTGCTTTGATTTTGTGGTAGTTTTTTTTGGGGGTTTGTTGGAGAGTGTGAAGGAAGGATGAATGTGAGCCGTTGGATTGAATTTGGAGGTGGGAGAAAAGCTTTACGCGTATTGCGGTGGGTGAAAGTCGCCGTTGGATTGGGATATTAAGAGCATGCGTGGGGGACCCACAAAGGGTTTGACAAAATGCAAATCCTGTGGAGTAATCTCTTGGGATATGGTTTTGTTTTGTAAGCATGTACTGGACTAGTATCAGTCTTTTTTTTGCATACCATGACACGACACTGCTACTATGCCTTGGTAAACTCTTTTTATATGTTTGTGCATGGGTTAAATGATTGTTTATTTATTTAAATAATAATTGTGTTTTCTGTAATTGTGGTTTGTTGTATAAATAGAATATGTAATGTTTGTAGCTTGTTGAATTGTTCAAAACATGGTTGTTAATGTATATCAAAATTGTTTAATAGTTTGAAATATGAATTCATGAAATATAAAGTATTGTTGTAAATACAAATGTAAGATGTCATTGTTTGTTTAAAAATGTATTTGATCGGTTGAAGGGAAATCGAATAAAGTAATCAGTATAAATGAGTGTTTTAATAATAATAATTATCTTTTTTTATTTGGAAAATGACCACCAATTCTGTAATACAGCATTGGTCTTCGGAATTTGACACTTGTACATTTCAGACTAAAAGGTGTGTTTTGGAATTTGACACTTGTATACTTCGGAATAGACGTTGAGTCTTCTCGAAAAAACTGATCAAGCGAGAATAAGGGAAGATGATGGATTTTTAGGAGAGTTAGTTAGATATCAAATGTATAGATATAGGAGCTCATATTATTCGACACACATTCACTATGGATAGCACAGATACACTTGGGCACCCTCATTACCTCTCAATCATACTACTCACGATCAGCTTGTACTTGTAATGCTTTTGCTTATTTCTAATAAAAGTTCTAAAGGCTGAATGACATTAGTCAACTCCCAAGGATTTATGCCAAAGATCCTAAAGGATTAAGGGTTTTCCTCGTATATTCTTATGTTTTTGTTCTTAAATTTTATGTTTACACTGATTTTTCTCAATTTGCATTACTTTTACACGATTTGTTAAGCATATTTACATCTGATTACATCTATGGCATATAATATTTCTCTTGGGATACTTTATAATATCTTGACCTGTTTGAACGTCTTATTGTTCTTTTTAATATTTTCTACATATTTATGAAATTAATACTATTATTTGTCCTACTTTACAAACATAGGTCTTAGGTTTTGAAGATTTTTATCTTGAAATAAAAAAAACAATGGTTTACTTTTTTGTACTAATTTCAAGATCTTCGATTAACTCAAGATCTTCTGTGTTGCACAAAATCTTAAGCACCTATTAAATTGTGTGTAACACCCCGAATTCAGCAGATTGAGGAATTGTCAGTTAGTAGCCATAGAAGCATCAGTAGGACTTCAGCAGTGCAAGGTGAGTCTCCTCACTGTGTGCATGGGTCTAAGGCCATAATGTCGACTCATTTATGTTTGTGTATAGTAGGAAGACCCAAGGGTTAGCCCTAGGCACTGTATGTTATATGTTCCGAATCACGATCCGATGTCAGGAAGGGCCCGGGGAATGTTAGTATGCTAGAGGTATTTGTGATTCTTGCATGTGTCGGTACGATAGGTTCCGGACCAAGGTCTGATGCCAGGGTAAGCCCGAAGTATGTTTATATGGTAGTATGTTCCGGACTAGGGTCTGATATTGGGGCAAGCCCGAGGAAGATTTATATGTGCATGTTAGATTATACTTGTTGTCTTTGTGATACTTGTATGTGCCTGGTAGGGAGGTGAGTGTGGGTGAGGTCCCGTATCTCATCACTAGTTGAATATAGATGGGGTTCCATATCTCAATATTAGCAGAGTAGGGGCGAGGCCCGTGATAGGAGAGAAGTGAGTGTGGGTGGGGGGCTCGTATCTCACTAACAGCAGGAGTGTGGACAAGGTTCCATAGCTCATCAGTAGCAGAATAGGGGCGAGGCCCAAGTTAGGCAAAGCCTTAGAACAGGAATACAGTAGAGTACGTTTTCTTTATATGCTAGTATGTTATATGTTGTATGTGTATAGTGGGCGAGGCCTAGAGACAGGAGGGGCCTAAGAGAGACAATTATGTATACCGAATAGGGCTCAATGTCAGGAAGGGTCTGATGTCAGGCGGGGCCCGATGCCGAAGCGAGTCCGATGTCGGGCAAGTCCCGATGCAATGGGTAGGAGCCCAGTATGTGGTTATATGTATGGTATGTGGTAGTATGGGGAACTCACTAAGCTTCGTGCTTATAGTTTTTAGTTTAGGTTTCAGGTACTTCCGGTAGCGGAGGGAAGAGCTCGGGATGACTGCATTGCACACACTAAGAAGTTTAGCTTGGGATGTTTTACTCTGATATATTTTTACAGATGTTATGATATTTTGAGATACATGACTTATGGTTTTATATGATGTTTGGATTACTATGATTTTATTAATCATTTAAAAATGAAAATTTTGAATCGTATTTTTGGGATGTTTCATTGTGACATCCTTATTTTTACAGCCAAAAAAGACCGATTTGTTTATGCTTTATTTTCAGATCATAGTAACTTTTTAAAGAAAAGTGTTGCGAAATTTGTTCCCAGAAAAAAATGTTAAATATGTTATCAAAGAATTTCCGTAGAAATGTATTTTATTTACTTTAAAACTTTATGATGTAATCGTCAATACAGAAACATAAGCATAAACAGAACTTACATTCATATACACTAGTGATCTATATCTCTTTAATCTCTTGGTGTAGTATAGCTTTATATCGACGCCTGTGATACAAATAAACTGAGTGGGTCAGGTTGGGAAACCTGGTGAGTACATAGGGTTTTCAACCCACTATAATATGGTTATTAAGTTTAAACATCAAACAATCAACCCAATGACCCATCCCCATTATCTTCTTTATTCTTAAGGATCTACCATAAGAATCAGCAAATCTTTATTCATTAATTCCTAAGGATTATGCTAAGGAATATGCATGACGTCCATCGTTGACAGGTTTTATATAACATGCACTAAATCCATAGTTACCAGGGTTCATCCAAAGGACGCTAAGTCCATAACTCTCATTTATAGACAATAT